AGAGCAGCTGATGAGGGACACATAACGAGGCTTCTCTTTGAAGCAGGGGCGGGCGGCACCAGGCATATCCAGCATAAGCATTGCAAATGAATCATTACACTCCATCCTCAATCTAGGTCAGGATGGAGCACAAGCGGGGGAGGGGTCCTGGAACCCCACTGCAGGCAGTGGAGTCAGCTCCTGTGAAGGCACAAGAGAAAGGGAGCCGGTGGCAGGGGGGACGGTGAGGGAGAGAAAATGCTTGGGCCTGCTTTCTCCTGCCCTGAGAGTAATGGAGAGAGAAGAGAGCTGTGCTGAGGCCCGAGAGGTGGGCGGGGGAAGGGGGCAGGAGGCGCTGGGCTCCAGGGTTGTTCCCCCCGCCCCACATATGGTCCCCCAGGCCCACCAGGCACGATCCCTGAGCACAGAGCCAGGAGTAAGCCCTGAACACTGCTGGGTGTGGCTCAAAAACCAAATATAAAAAAATAAGATGGCTGCTATATTTTGAGATCTATGCCCTTTAAACATGTGTGCATGCAGGTGTGCGCGCATGCGCAGGCACACACACACACACACACACACACACACACACACACACAAATACACAGAGTCCTTTCCTCTACGCTCTTGTTCAACTTCTTATTCCTGTACCCAAGTTCAGGTGCTGGTCACTGGACTAGATTCGAGAGGAGAACTGAGGTGAGAGGGGCAGGTGGGCCCAGGACTTAGCCCCCTATGAGGATGGTGGACTAGGGTGTCAGCCAGAGACATTTTGGGGATGGGAGCCACACCTGGTAGTGTTCAGAGCTTACTCCTGGTCTACACTCAGGGATTACTCCTGGCAAGCTCAGGGGACCGTAATGGGTGCCAGGGATCAAACCTGGGTCGTCTGCCTGCAAGGCGAGTTTCCCTGCCCACTGTACTATCCCTCTGCCCCCAGAGAGATTTTTAAGAGAAAGACAAGGTCCTGCAGCCTCAGGAACAAGCATGGTTTGTTAGAAACAAGAGAAATCATCTCTGTTTGTGCAGAAGGGACTTCAGAAAGCATCTTCTCCAGAGACAGATTCCTAGCACAAGCCCAGCGGCACTCGGCACTCCACTCCCTCTCGTTTCCTTTCTGCTTTTTTTCAATCCCCCATTTTTGGGTATACTTCATTAAATAATTTATTGCATAATGCAAAAGCAAAACAAACAGACTTGGCCACTGGCTTCTGGTACAATGCGTTTTCAGACACGTGGCATCCATTGCCTGGGCCCAAGGCTCTGAACTCTGTGGCGCAGCCTGGCTCTCTGAGGTCCGGAAGCTGGTTCTCTGTCTTCTAAATAGGTTCTGAAAGATGCTACGCCTGAAGAAATGTAAGCACAAACAACCCGAGAACCTGGATTTCAGAATTAAATACGAGCTCTGCTGTGAATGTGCATGCTAGGCTCGGGTACGTCTTTGATTTACCAAAATCCTAAGAAAATGTACAGCTCATAAGTGACAGGAGAACTATATACAGGCAAGAAACAAAGAGAACTGTTTTGTTCTTAACGGAACCACAGAATTCACTGCAAACTATCCACGTGATCTCTAGAAGCAATTTTTCCTCCTCCCTAGGTCTGGCTTTCTTCTTTTAAACCAAATGATCAAGGGGCCAGGGGTGGGCTTTGTAAGTGATACCATTCAAATGATATCTACAAAATGGTTTTGTTTTCTTGAAAGCCCCAGCAATTGCAGAACTCTGTGGCACTCATTCCAACGATGTGAGCCCACCACAAAACGCTGGGCTGTGCTCAATCTTTGCGAGCTTTCAAAGGAGGCTGTTTCACTATCGAGATGATTCTCCGAAAACATTGTGCAGACCAAGTTCAGAAGAAGTGATTTCAAATCGAACCCTCTGCCCTGAACTTCCCTCCCATGTCAACCTCCAAATTGATTTGTAATATTTTGTTTCCCCCCTTATTTAAAAAATGCAGTTAGGGTATAACCCTGCCTCCCCCGGCTTCGACCACCACCCAACAGCTCTGTCTTCCATTTCTCTGAACTCTGACGAGTTGGAGGTGCCAGAAGATTCTATTTCAGGGCACCTTTAAAAACAAGGTGCCCGTTTTAAAGTACTGCAGAGTGCCAGTTTGCATTCTGCCGTAGAATGAGTCACCCCGCTGGAAACCAACACCCGCAAAGAACTCGGGAGAGGTTCGGCGACCGTATTAAAAATTAAATCCGGCTGCATTTCCTAATGGGTCATTGGCCACTGCCTCTGGAGGCTGGGCTTTATGGCGAGTGCGGGTCCTTGCGGAGGTCAGCACCGGGTTTGCCCCTCGGCACCGGGCGCCAACACATGTCACGCCTGGCAAATAACGTATTTCTCCCCCGGCTCCCGTCCCTCCAGCTAGCCTGACGTCATGCTTCTAGGGAGCTGCAGGGACTTGATTTCTGGGGGCTCCCTTCTCGGGAGGGGGTGAACGGCAGGGGGCCGGCCACTCACAATGGCTTCAGACCAGCGCCTCAGCAGACTTTTGCTGTGGCCTTTATTTTCACCTCGGAGAGGAGCGACTTTAACTCAGTCTTCACCTCAGGCTAAGCTGATGCTTAGGTCATGTCTGGGCTCTCTGGGGAACCGCCTGGTTCCGCCGGGAGGGGCCCCGGTGCCTTTTCAGTGGAACAGCGCAGCTGTCCGGCCATATGGGCCCCAAACAGCCCAGTGAATCCGATTTGGGGAGGTTTTACCATGTAATTTCTTAGCGTGTTCGTATTTGGGGTGAGTTTGATCAGGAGTCGAGACAGCCCTTAAGCCCCAGGGTTTTAGGTTTTAAAAGCTGTCGCAAATGTCCCGGCCTCTGATCTGACTGGTTAAAAAACAAATACAAAGTCTGCGATGGAGGGCTGGGGGTGGGGGAGGGGAAGTGATGGGACACCCGGACCCCTGATTGGGGAAGACCCCAGGGTCAGCTCCAAGCATTCATTCAGCATCAGCCGCTTCTCCCTCCCTGCCCACCCCCTCCCCATTTCTCTTCGTTTTTTTTTTTTTTTTCTCTTCGTTTTCACCCGGAGCTCATCATTTGAGGCGTTCCCATTCTGGCCTGCAGAGCCTGTTACAAAACCATCTCGCTCCCCTCCCCCTATGCCGCAGGATGAGAGCAACAGTCTGCATTGCAGCAGCGGCAAGGGCTGCATCCAAGTGGCCGCCAGCTAAACAAAACTCCACCTTTAAGAAGCCCAGGCCAGGCCCTGTAACGCAGCACTGGCTCTGGGTGGCAGCCCCTTCCACCCCCGCAGACGGGGTCCAGGAAAGGTAACAATGACCAGGAAGAAAGGTGCCCCTCATGTTAATGCCCCTGTTAAAATAGTGGCAGCCAGGAGCCCAGTCTCTGGCCATTCTCATTGTTCCACCCCAAAAGTATTTCAGTTTGAGGGGAGTGTTATCAGAGGGGTCAGTTTTCCCTGGAAAGAGACGCCGCACGGGAAGCCAGGAATGAAAACTTCATTGCAGGGATGCTCTCTCTCTCTCTCTCTCTCTCTCTCTCTCTCTCTCTCTCTCTCTCTCTCTCTCTCTTCCCCCCTCCCTCCCCCCCCCCCCCCAACTGCTGTATTTTTATCCCTCTCCTGCTGCATTGTTGGAGGGTAAAGCAAAGCTAGCTCTAAGGGGTGATGAGATGGGGCTCTTCTCGGGCCTGGCAGACACCCCTAGAACTGACCGAGCCCGGAATGGCCTTGCATGGTTCACTCGGCAGCGTGCAGGCCACGGTCCCTGGGGTCCACGCCTGCTTTGTGGGCTCGGATTGACGAGGTCCCTTTCGCTGTCGAGGGCTTCCTTCCTTCCCATCTCTTCTTGCCCTGCTCCCAGCGCTGCCCAAGAAACATTGAGAATGTTTTCCACACACCCCCACCCGACCCCGCCTCGCAGTCTCAGGAGTAAATAGGGTGTCCGTGGTCCAAGCTGGGGCTGGGGGTGGGGGGGTGGTGATGCCCGCTGCCGCTGTCCCATCACCCGCGCTAACTTCGGGTGGCGACTCGAGCCAACCCGGCTTTGGAGGCGCTTGGGGGTGGCGTGGGGGTTCGGTTCTGCGGGCCCGAAGCGCCCCGCGCGCCAGGGACCCGCACAACAAAAGGCGCCTCCCGGGAGCGAGTGGGGGTCGGCGGCGAGAGGCTGCCGGGCGTGGGGGGCGCACGTCTGCGCCTCTTGAATCTCGGGCGTCCATCTGGCTGGGCTGACTCCGGGGGGCTGGGCAGGGAGGGGCGCGGGGCGCGCGCCCGGACGCAGAGCGCGGGCACGCGCGCCCCTCTCCTTCACGTTCACCTTGACAGCGGGGGGTAGGGGAGATGGGGCTCCCCAACACCTAGCGGCCGGAACTAGGGGCCAGGGGCAGCTGCAGAGGCGCTTGACTCACGCGCACCCCGCCGGGATGTCAACGGCAGCGCCCCGCATCCTCCACCGCCGGCCTCGCCCGCCGGGTACCAGGGGCGGCGGGACGCGTGCCCTCCTCCCTCCCCTCGGCTTCAAGTGCGCGACCAGAGCTGGGGGTAGGAAGGGGACTGCGGGGCTGGGTGGGGGGGGGGTGGCCGGGACGCCCCTTCTCTTGGGATGGAAGCGGGAGGGGAGACGGCGGAAGCGCGCGTGAGTGTGTGTGTGTGTGGGGGGGGTGCGAACCGCCACCCCCGGGCTCGGCTTTGCCGCTCGGTCGAGCGCTCCCCCTTCTCACTTGTGCCCAAATCCGCATTTTCCTTGGCACAGCTGTCCCGGAGCAAGCCGGAGAGGGAGGTGCCGGGGGCAGTGAGAATGACGTGTGCTGCAGCAGAGCGGCTGCGGGGCTGCGGCCCGGCGGTACCGTCAGCAGATGCGCCTTCTTCTAGCTGAATAATCCGTTAAAGGAATAATAATTTTTTTTTTTAAGAGAGATCGACCTCAGCCGAAGAGGACAGACAGTGAACGAGATTAGGGCTTGGTAAGGATAAATGAAAAGGTTCCAAATTCTCTCTCTCGGTCCCTCTCCCCCTCCCCCGCTCTCCCTCCTCCTCCTCCTCCTCCTCCTCCTCTTTCCCGTCCCTCCTCCCCCTCCCTCCCCTCCCCCTTCCCCATCCCCTGCAATCCGCACTCGACGCGAGTTCACGCCAAGGGCTGGATTTCCAGGCTGCACCGCACCGGGCGCTGCGTTATTATTATTCATCGGAGGCTGCGGCGCCACCACCTTTGCCTCCCGCGCGGCTCTCCGGGCCCCCCGCGCGCCCCTGCCCGCACCCGTCCGCGGCGCACCCGAGGCAGACGCTGCATCCCTTCGGCCACGCTCGCGGTCCTTTCCAGCACGAAGCTCCTGACCGTGGGGCTTCACCCCCTCCTGCCAGGTGCAGCGACCACCAGCTCGCCGTGGCCGCCGCCCGCCCCTGCCCCCGCTCAGCAAACAAGCCGGCCCGAGCGGGGCGGCCGCTCCCTGGACGCGGGCAGCGGCGCGCACCCCTCCCTCCGCCATCTGCATATATATTATCCTCATCCCTTTTATCCCGGTAGATCCGCTGCCTTTCCCGGGCGCACCGGAACGCTGAGGACCGCAGTCTCGAAAGCCGAAGAACAAAAAGAAGAAGACCTGCCGGACCGCCCCCCCCCCCCATCCTGGACAAAAGCACCTGGGGCCGGGCGAGAAGGGGCGCGCACCGGTGACCTCGGTGCCCAGGGGCGCCCGCCCTGCGCGTGGACTTGCAGGCTCTCCGGATGCAATTGTACGTCAGCTCTCGGCATGCTGGCACTGCTGGGGCGGGCTCGGGGACCGGGCTCGGGGTGTTTTTGTTGGGGTCTGTTTTTTTTTTTTCCTGGAGAACAGGAGCTGGATCGGGCGGTGACGGGCGTTCGGGTCCTGCCCTCCCCCGCCTCACCTTGCGGGGATCCGGGTGCTGGACAGCGGCCGGGGAGAGCTTAGAAAAACAGAAGCCCTGAGACAGGGTCCAGAGGGAGACCGCGGGGCGAGGTGGGGAGAGGGTCGGGGGCGGAGAGGTACCCAAAGAAGGGTTGATTGTTTTTTAAATTTTTTTGTCTCCTTTTTTACCCTCCCATCCCCCGTTGAGGGTTTTGTGGGAGTTTTTTTTGGGGGGGAAGGGTGAGAATCTGGGGCGTGTGTGGCCAAGAGCTCTGAAAAAAATTGATGGAAAAATTGATGATGCGGATGTGCCCAGATAAGAAGGAGCAGCAGGGCCTGCGTGAAAGGGCGGAGAGCTGGGAGGGGGCGCGAGGGAGGGAGATTAAAATAATGTCTGATTATCATCCCGTGGGCTTTGGGGGAATCTTATGCTCTGTCCGTCTCCCCGTTTCTGACCCAGGCACCCAGCCGCATCCGACAGCAGTGACCTTTTAAATTTGGGCGCGCACCCCCCTCTCCTTTACCTGGTAAAGCCCTTTGACAGTTTGGGGCGGGGTGGGGTGGGGTGCGCAGCGCGGCACGGGGCGTTTCGAAGCCGTGTCTATATATTCTCGCTCTCGCTCGCTCTCCCCTCCCTCCGTCCCCTCCTCCCGCCGCCCCCCTCCGCTCTCCCTCCCTCCCTCCTCCCTGCTGCATTTTGCATGAGCTATGTAGGTCATTAGCATTTTAGCGTATGCAAGACTTGACAAAGCTGATGAAGGGACAGATGGACCTCGCTCTTATGGTGGTTTTTTTTCCTCCTCCTCCTTCTCCTTCTCCTTTTTTTTTTCCTCCTCCTTTTCCTTCCCCACCCGCCCCCCCACCCCCACCCCTGTACCACTCGGGACCTGAGCACTGCAGCAGACGAGTTCCGGCCAGGCTGCCGCCCGCGCTCCCGGCCCCGGGCCGCGCCAGGACCCCCGCCTGCGAGGTAAAGGCGGCGGCGGCGCGCCCTGCCCGGGTCGCCCCTGCTGCCCCCCGCCCCGCGAGCCCCCCTGGATTTCCCGGGCCGAGCCGAGGGTGCGCTGGGTGGGTCGCGCCGGTGGCGCTGGGGCGAGGTGGGGCTGGAGACGGTCTTTCATTGTCTGGAGCGCGGCGCGGAGAAGGGGCGAGGGGAGTCGGGGTAATTAGCACGGGGGAGGCACCCCTGCGCCTCCCGCTCCCACCCACACCCCCACCCCACCCCCTCCGCTCTGCAGGAAAAAGCCTGGATCCGCAGGGTGGGGGAGAACAAAGAGCCCGTGGAAGACGCCGGCCCCATTGTCTGGGCACTGGGGGAGCCGCGGCCAGCGCGCACGCTCGCGCCCTGCTCCGGATTTCTCCTGCTTTTCTCCCCAGCCCCCGCCTTTCTTCCCCTTCTCCTCCCCGCCTCGGTCCCTCGCAGAAGAAAGGCCTCTCTCTCCGTGTTCACAGCGGACCTTGATTTAAATGTCCATACAATTAAGGCACGCGGTGAATGCCAAGAATGGGGCTGGTTAAGCACCGGGAGTCGCCGCGGAACCCGGCAGCGCTGCGCCCGCGGGCCGGAGAGGGGCGCGGGGGGCCGGGGGTGCTTGCGGCGGACGGACTCCGGGAGAGGAACGGGCGGGGGGCGCCGACGCTGCGCCCCTCAATCCCGGACCAGTGCGAGCGCGCAGATGCGGGCGGGGAGCGCTTGGCTGGGGGCGCGTTTCGGTGCTGCCCTTTCCCGGGGCGCGTGGGGAGGGGGGCGCGGATACCACTGAGCCCCGCGGCGGGGTTTGGGGGCCCGGGCTTCCTTTTTTGGTTTTGTCCTTATTTAAAAAAAAAAGAAAGAAAGAAAGAAAGAAAGAAAGAAAAATAGCCCGCCTGATGAGCTCCCCAGATTGCCCCGGGCCTACGCTGCGCTATTTTGTGCTCTGCGGGAGGTGAAGGAGGGGGTGGGGAGGAGGTGTTTGTTGTCCTTTGCGGTAGAGCTGGGCCACCTGACAACCTTCAGAAGTCCCTGGCAGACGGGGTGCCAAGGAAGGACTCCCGGAGTGCTGGCCAGCTCCCTGCCGCTGTCATTGCAGCTTGGGGCAGAGATCCCACTGAGAGGGGCGAGGCCGCTGCTGGGCAAGACCGCAGCCTACAGAGGTGGGGCTGGGGGCAGACCATTTTGGGGGGCGGCTTTCCTCCCTGCCTCCCGACCTAGAGTAGCTGGGCCCAGGGACCCCTTGGTGCTGCCCAACCAACTCCCAATCACTCGGTCCTAACCCCTCCCCAGCTGCCAGGGATGGTGGCAAAATCCAAAGCCATTAATTTCCAGGTGGAGAAAATGGAGGCGGGGCAGTCCCCGCGGAGAAGAGCCAGGAGCCTTCTGAGGCAGGAAGCTCCCCGCCAGCCTCTCCCCTGCCCTTGGCACTGGCCTATCTTGGCAAGATCACAGCCAGGGGGATGCTTAGGATTTTAGTGAGAGTCTTGACACGGAAATTCCCGTCCCAAGGAGATGCCCTTTCCTCTAAAATCCTCAGTCTAGCTCAGGAAACCAATTCATATGCCACGACTCTGAGGGTCCCAGACCTCATCCCCTTCCAGAGTTATTAAGCACCTGCCCCATGCCCGTCGGGGTATAATTAAGTAATAGCGGAGGTTCTTTGCCCTCCTAAGGAAGGATCTGCAATCGGGTAAGCTTCCTTCCAGAACCTTCTCTGGATCTGCAAAAGAAAAAAAAATAGGCCACAATCTGCTCGCCCTTGCGGAGAGAAGGCTGTGGTCCCATCAGACAGACGGCAGGAAGAGTGCTTTCCCTCTGGCCCCAGAAGGGAGGCTTGGCAGGGGGACCAGGCAGCCCGGCGTCTGGGCAATCAGGGCGTCCTCTCTGCCCTTCGCCTCTGCTTCTGCAGGGCGCAGTCTGCCAGCAAAGCCCAGTGCCCTACAATTGCCCACGTTAGCCCCGCACCCTTCCACGCTCAGCGCTGCCCTGTCATTCCATCAGACAGGCTGTGCCCTTGGCAGAGAGGCCTGCCGAGCACTGCCTTCCCCAGGTGCCAACCCAGTCAGTCATGCCCCCTTTCTGCGGAAACCTAAGGCACGTTCGCTCCTCCAAAGCCTCAGCCCCGGCACCATGGACAGGGCCACCAGGGCCTGCCTATTTGCATTTTAAGACTTTTAGCCATTCCCATTCCAGCAAGTCTGGGTGAGTGATCTGGGGGGTCGAGGCTGGGAGTGCCAGCCGCTGTGGGGGAAAGAGGAGGGTTCCTGTGATCCCCCAGACTCACCACCAAGTGCCTTTGATGGAGGGCTGGCATGGCAGAAGTGTAGAGGTGGAGGAGGGTGCCCTGCACCTTTGTCACCTCAGGGGCCCCTTTATGTTCACCAGAGGCGACGGTAAAGGTCAGCCGTGTATTTGGGGCCCAGTTGGGTTGATGTAGAAACCAGAATAAATCTCCCCAATCTCTCCCCCATCCCGCTGGAGCCCCTCTGGTTAGAGCCCAGACACTGGGGGGCTTCAGGCCCTTCCCGGCTGCCTCTGCTCAAACAGACCCCTCCCCTCTGCATCCCGCTGGAGAAGGCCCTCGCAGGTGGATGTTCGCCCTGTAGAGAGCCCTAGAGAGACGACTGGAGGAGGACGGGGTCCGGAGAGAGCCCCCAGGGTCCAGATCTCTGTGTAGGAGAGAAGAAATGGATCTTGAACAAAGGCAAAGGTGGACCACCAGCTCCCAGAGGCCAGGTGTGGGAGCGTTTTTGTTGGCCTCAGCAGTTGGGCGCCTAGGCCAGAGAAAGGATGACCGGGGCTAGGGCAGTCTCAGTGGCTCAGCAGGCGGAGGCCTCTCCAGAGCCTCTGCTGACAGCCGCAAGGAAGCGAGTGAGCACCCGGGAAAGAGCCTTCCCAGCACCTCCGCTGGCTCTCTGGGCAGACAATGTTCTTCCCTCTGCTGAACTTACATAACACCCCCACTCCTTGTTCCAACCTTAGGATGGAGGGGGCAGCTGCACGGCCCCCTCGCTGGGACAGATGGCACCCCCCTTTCCCAGCTCCTCCGTGGGTGGTTTCTGAGCCCCGTGAGTCAGCTGGGGCTGAGGGGCGTGCTGGTGGCGTGTGTGCACTTGAGGCTTGCCTGGCTGATTCATGATGATGAATATGTCAATAATAACAATCATGGGAACAAGAATGCTTAATAAAGATTTCTCTCTCGCAACTTCCATCTACAATTCTTTCATTTGGGTGCTTTTAGGCTTTTTTTTAAACCAACTCTTAATCTGACTTCAGAGTGTGTGTGTGTGTGTGTGTGTGTGTGCGCGCGCGCACACACACACGGGTGTTAACATATGTCATCCTTAATTAGCTCTCAGATGAGGACCTAGAGCAAGCATGGACTTCAAATGGGACACAGCGAGCTGCTCCGTGCCCTTGGCTGTGGTGGTGGGAGGGCTGGCGCGGACACAGGCGGCCACCAAATTTAGCTGGTCGGGAAAAACAGCAGCTGGCCCAGTGGAGAGCTAGGGAAGTGCCAGGGCCTGCGAGCGGCAGGCGACCTCCATAGCTTCTCCTTTGCAAGTGCTTTTCCTCCTCCATTTTGTCTGGAAATGGATGCTTCACACACTCACCCTAAAAGAGAGGCCGGTGGGCACCTCAGAACCCCCCTAAAAAACCCACAATGGCCTCTGAAGTCCCCTTCTTAGACACACAGCACCTCTGCCTCTGTCTCTGAGGCTCCCGGTCTCCTTGCCCCTCCTCCCGGCACCCCGCTTCCCCTCTGCTCCTGACTTTCGGGCTCTGGAAGGTTTTCTTTTTTGCATCCAAGTTTGGAGGTGGCACACCTCACCCTGAGTTTGCCATTAAACCAAGGTGTGGACCCCACATCCGCCCCTCAGCCACTGGTAGGAGTGTCCGACCCCTCAAGCCCCCTTAGTGCCCCTTGGCGACAGGTGTCCCCTCAGCAGTCAAATTGCAGAGGCCAGCTGAGTTAGGGTGCGGGAGAGGGGGCCGATCTGTGGGGTACCACCTCCAGGGTGCCCGGTCCGCCTCTGAATGTGCTAGAATGAAGGCCGGAAAGGGCTCTGGAGGGGCAGTGAGGGGGCAGGTGGAGGAAAGGCCCCCCCCATCACCACTCAGGCCTCAGCCCTTTTCCCCACCACGCAGTGCAAGCGTCTCCCCGACTCCCCTCTGTCTGCCCCCTGGCACGCACCCCCATTCCCATCTGCCCTGTCACATACAACATCAGCATGAAGTCAAAATAGACACCCCCACCCTCCACCTGGATGGAAGAAGTGGTTCTGCAGCCCCGGAGGGGATGGAGCCTTTGGGAAGCTGGAAAAAGGAGGAGAGGAGACGCTCTTCCTGAACCCCCAAACCCTGCTTCTGTCTCAGGAGAGCAAGATCACTCTGTTTTGTAGCTTGGACAGTCTCCTTTCCTTTCTGCCTCCTTGTATTCCACCTTGCAGGTGTTGATCCTTGGGGTCCTGGGGTTCACAGGCCTGTGCCCTGGCATAACCTTGAGAGTCCCAAGTCCAAGGTCAATGTCATGTGTACAGGGAACCGGATGTGTCTGTCATGGCCAGATCACCAAAACCTAACCCAGGGGAGGGCACGTGGCCTTGGCAGGGGGCTCTGCTCAGCCCCTTCCTGTTCCCCGGGATTGATGGGGCAATATTTATTCCCATTTAATTGAGACACTGGTTTAATTTCAGATTGCTTCGGCATAAGGCCCAATGGGGTTTTCTGCAGCTCTTTCTCCCTGCGTCTCTACAGAAACTAATTGCTGTTAATATCCAATTTTGGCTTTATTATTCGTTAGCCAATTATGGGTCCCCTAGCCCAGGCCCCTCGCTGCTTCTGCGGGAATGGGCTGGCATACCCTGCCCCCACCTCGATGCTCCAGAGCTCATCCCAACACCAGCCAGGAGACTGGGGGGGCGGGGTGGGGGGGCGCGCCGCATCCTTAACTCCCTTTGGTGGGCACTTTTTTCTTTGCAGTTAAAGTAAAACACTGGAGTTGTTTTTTTTAAAACAGGACATTAGTCTTTTTTCTTTTCTTTCACTTCCCCCACCACCTCTAGGCTTCCCTCCCCCATTCCCAGGGTTTTTTTTTTCTGGAGCCTTTTCTAGACTTGCGTTTTGTAATAAGGAAAAGCATGAGGCTTTTGTCATGGCCCCTCTTGCCCACCTGCCCAGGGGTGAGCTGCACTGACCGGCTGAGTGACCACACGTGCACACCACCCCACGGGGTCAAACGGAAGGCCAATCAAAAAAGGTAATGGGGCTTTGGGGGAAGGGTGGTGTGAAGCTTTTGTCTTGCCTCTTGCAGTTGCCCCTGAGAGGGACCTGCTCTGCTTCCCCACCATGGGGGTCCCTGGGAGCTGCAGGGCAGCAGTGGGAGCGGGGAGAAATAATCTCGAGCCAGGATCAGCCTTCTGTCTGGTTTTATGGGCCAGAGGTGCACAGATACGGGAGTGAGCACCCCCCAACCCTTTTCTGTTAGTGGGGAAAAAAAAGTGGCACAGCCCAGCGTTGGCAGGAAGAGGCAGGAAGAGGCCTTTCTCGGCCGCCTTCTTCCCGGCTCCAAAACCTCTTGACGGGGGATGATGTACGGTACTCCACAGCGGCAGCTGGGTTCAGCGTGTGTCGGAGCAACCCCAAAGGGCAAACAGCTGGCCACGGCCCAGCCTGCCTTTCCCCCATGCCTGTCCCTCCTGATCAGTCCCAGGAGGCCATGCGGTTCCCCGGGCGGAATCCCAGGGTCCAAATAGGGTGGAAGCAAATGGGCAGCGGTCATCCTGCTCCAGCAAAAAGTCTTCAGGCGCGAAGGCCTCCTGGGCCAAGGGTGGAGCA